TATTGACACTGTTACGGCGACATAACCTCACGCCACATGTTTCGAATTGGATGCACTTTTATTTTACCGACTGACGCCAATACACTTGTCTCAAGGGCATTAGATCTTGTACTGTTACTGTAAGCCAGGGTGTAATTTAAGGGTTCAATTTTATCCCCTTTTCCTGTTCTCCTTTTATATCCAAAATTTGCCAGTCACCCCAAATGTTTTCACGTTTAAATATGCCGATGACACAGTAGTTGGTGTTGCATCCTACAACAACAACCCTTCAACTAACCCCCTTCGATCAGCCGTAAGTTCCATTTCTGGATGGTCCGATGGTGGTAACCTTCTTTAAACCCAAGTAAATGCATTGAAGTTTTGTTTTTCATTGAGCGTAGGCTATCAACTCTTTCTGGATTATCTGATCCCAATATCTTGATCAATAACTTAAAAGTTGAAAGGTCAAACACTTCAAATATCTTAGATGTTTCGTGTCTTCTGACCTCAAATGGTCCTATCACGTAGATTAAACATTTCTTAGTCAGAAAGCTGACGTTTTTTATTTCGCACCTTCGGTACGTGAGGGTGTCACTGTACATCATCTCGAAATTTATTTTCTCATGCGTTTTATGCCATTGGACTTACTGCTCTCCAGTTATCTTTCCCGGTCTACTGTCTACGGATTTTATATTAATTAGACGCTCTCTGAAAAGCATCTCTAGATATTGCGCTTTTTTTTGAGGAGCTGGTTGATTCTATTGTCAACCAACACCTGAATGCGAGTGACCGTCTGTGTGACTCCGATGCGTCACATCCCTTACATACAGCTCTATCTAGCTCCATTTCAAATTCTGTAACCCACAATAAATTTAAACCTTTATGTACTCGTACCACGGCTTTTCACGACCCCGTTATACCTTTCCTTTCACGTTTGTTGGTTTCTAGGGAGGAATATCAAACGAACTTATACACAGTCTAATGTAAATTTTCACCTTGAAAATTTCTTTATTTTTTTACGCGTTCTGAGTGACTACTTGTCATATCTTTAAGCTCAATTTTTAATAGTGCGCATGCCAAAACAAAAGCGATTACATTCTTTTCACTGAAAATTCTGTCTACATTGGATGAATAAAGTGCATTCTTGACTTGACTTTGTACAATCCCGATCTCCCCATTCCCTGTTGTTGTTGTTGTTATTGCTGTTGTGGCGTTCACTTTAAAATGTTCAGAATCAAGGTCAAATATATCTATTTTCTAACACGGATTGTTCACAGATTGCGTTTCACAGAATAAAAACAAATAATTCTGCGCAAATTGGCTGGATTCTCCAGCTTTTCTGAGACACTATACCTGATCACATGATTTGGGTTTTGATCAAGTTCGTGGCAGCTGACCATGCTTCATGTAATTCAACTACCACGATCGATAAATGTGCATTACTCTGCGTGTCAGAAGTATTTGGAAAAATAGCCAATAGTTGATAAAATTAGTCAAAAAGGATGCAACGTTTGCACATGCGGGAATTAACGCGGATTGTTCTATTAATTGTTTGCAATGGTTCATGCTTTGCGGCACGATATTCTCGAACTACCGAATCGAGAAGGCAACAGCGCATCGAACAAAAGGCTCGTCTTCCGGTCGACATGCATTTGCCGCTGATTCCGATCGATCAACAAACCACCGCTTTGATGATTACCTATCTGGTTTGTATCATCATCCTTATTGCAGCATTCACGCTCATTATTGTGTTTGACAAAAGTGCACTGTACGCAATTCGACGAGTGTGCTGCTTCTGTTTTTGCTGTTTATATGGTTGTGGTCGATTCTGGAATAAACGACTTGATGGTGACTTGGAATGCGAAGAAGATGATAGTATGGATGAACTCTGTTGCTTTAAGGTATCCGAATCGGTTCGAAAACGACGTCCTGTCACCTTGATGGAATACCATCGCCTCAAACATGCTGAAGGATATGGATCGAGAGACACTGACGAGGGCACAGGAAGATATTCCACAAATCGTTCCAAATTATTCACCGAATACACCTTGCCTCCATTGTCCACGGCAAGGAATTACAAACAACGAGAGACAGTTCTTAAACTGCGTTTGGAATTCCTGGCTGATTTAGCAGCATTTATGAGTGCACGTTCCATGCAACAGGCCATGAGTGAAGACAGTTCGTCCAGCGAGGAATCTGCACCATCACATGGTACACACTCATCCGGCACAGATTTCGCGGATAGTCATGAGGACATAGGTACAGCACACCGGGATGTTGAAGCCTAGATATCCATCATATCAGCAAGCTATTCTCTAGTTTTTGAGAAATATTTGTGGTTTTATTAGCCCGTGGTAACAATCATTGGTTATTGTTATTCTCTCGGCATTCTTTTGTTGACAGAGAGGGGTCTTTTATCGTTAGAAATTACGATTGCTGAACAGATTTCGAACGAGTTATAAGATGCGGTTGAATTAGAGTACCTTTCTCGGGTGCAGTGCAAACTAAGAGTAAGATCGTACACCTCCCGGGTATTTCTTGAATGCTAGCAAAGCTAATCGGTTTATCCTACAACTGAAACCTATAAGTTAAAACTCACGCAACTAACATAAAGAAGATACCCCTACCGTGGATATTAGCATGCATATATATTACCACATCTAAAAAGTGTGGTGCCAATACGTTTTCAATAATAGTGAAAATAGGGTATAACAGATGTATGGGACGTGAAGCGTACTATCCCCTGGGAAGCTTAAAGTACTGGAATCACGCAACGCCGAACGGATTATTCTGGTTCGACTGTTGTTCATTTTGTATATATTTTACTGCTTTAAATAGTTTTGAATTCTGTATTGCTGTTGCTACAAACAGCGCGTTTTTAATCATTCCAAAAGTTTGAGAGACTGAAATCATCAGCCTAAAAGGATAAACACGGTATGTACTAATCACTTGGAGATTGAACTAAAAAACGAGACAATGGAGAGCTTTCATGCATTTATTGAATCACTTTGATGTATTGCTGCATGGTCACGTATGCCTCAGTAAAGTTGAAGCTCATCAGACCAAATGGTATATTCATCACAGAGTCTCTGAAAATCGATATAAAGTCTAACAATCGGTAGCAGTTTACATTGCTTGATTTTGCATCGCGATCGACGTCTTGGATAGAGAATTGAATGGGATTATAGAACAGAATGAATAGATACCAAGAAAGATCTTAAATAAACTGAAGTTTTACCGTCCCTGGTGATTATATATATATTTGGAAAAGCGTAAATCTGCGTCTGCGAAGGAGTATCGAATCGTCTCCTCAAAATTCTGCCGGCAAACGACTGCCATTGATCACTCGGGCTGCTGAAGGACGCAACAGACCAATTGCCAATTGCCTACTGGCTATGCGCAAGACAACAACCGTGATTTTGTTTATTGAAATCGATCAAACATCACTTCAGCTTAGGTGCGGCCATTCATCTTACACCGTTGTGTGACGATTTCAGATGTGATTTGACCTTCTATTTGGTCGGATAGTTAGACCTTTTTAAGGGGAAGAGTTAAAACAAAGAAAACAAGAAGTGGTCAACAGTATCCTTCTGTCGGAAAGCGGTCACTGTTCCCCTACGATGACCGCAGTTCTGTTCCTGGATCAGTCTGCCTGCTATGAAATCACTTGATAGTCAATTTAAGTTTGATCCATCAGTCAGTTTGATAAAAATTCTCAGATGACTTCGTATTTTATAGCATTTTAAAACCTCAGTGAAATCCGAATACTCTCATCACAATACCCATGCCTTTGCACAGCGTGCGCTCCACCAGCCGAACTATGAAGCTCCAGGGACTACCTGTGGGATCCCTACCAAGTATAAGGGGAACCAGCAGTGCCCATCGGGCTGCATGACTAAAGCTTCTTATGAAACGTTGTAGCTCAATTGGTTAGAGCTTATGTCGAACAAAGGTTTGGAGACCTCCGTGGATGGGTTGAAATCTTACATGAGCTTTTGGGCCCAGTGTAAAACGGGAAATTATAAAAACATATGGAATAGCCTAATGCACACACAAACATTGCTGATAGTCACCAGTGTCTTGAATTAATACATATATAACTGGCATTAATATTATTTATATTATAAATACGTACAAAAGATACACATGAAAGTGCAATAACCGTCCAGATCCGTTACGAAAAATACCAAGAGATGAAACAATCTTATAATCTCTCTTCTCGGGGGATATTCGTATTCGAACAGAGAAACTTAAAGCACAGGTTTTTACAATCCATCCTGGATTATTTCATTTCACATGTATTCGTGCATAGTGCAGTTTAAGAGGTTATCGATGTATGACCAAAAATACAGAATCTCAGATCGAGGAAGACTGCGACTCACTGAACACAGTAATCACAATGGTAACACTAGAAGGATAAGCAATCCATACAGATACACCGGCGAAAATGTAAGTCTTTTCGAAGGAAATTTTCAGACCTGCAGCCAACAAACGAGGATACCCTCAGTTGATTCATCTGAGGGTAAACTAACCACACTGCATTCGCTTTTTCTTCCTTTAGTACTTTAAGTTGGGCGTCTGTCAGTAGTGCGCGTTACCGTATCGGTCTTGTTTGGTATTAATGTTCTTTGTTTACTTATTTTGCTTTCAGCCAACTAAGGTTATCCTTGCTTGCCGGCTTCAATTTTGAGAAAAACTACAAAAGTCATCTACTGATGCTTGTGAACAAGTGTGATTAGACTTAAGTGTGGCTGGCGGTACGTTTGTAATAAATGTGTTTGGTGAGTGATATCAATCACAATCTTTCCCGGCCTGAGACTGTATTTTCTGATCATATACTGATAACCATTCAGAACGCAGTATGCACGTGTTCCGATGAGATGAAGGAATAAGGGCTATATTGTACAAACCTGTTTTCGGCTTCTATATTCGAATTCGTTAAGAGCAAACTATGCTTTCAAGTTTTATATCATGGACAAGTTCAAATAAACATTTCGCATGAAAAGACCTGCTTACTTGCAAATCCATGATTGTGAGAAATTCTCCAGCCTTGTCCAAACTGTACACACCTCCCATCTCCATTAATTGTCTGACCAATTCATTCACAACTTGATCTCCCCATTCATTGGTAATCGGCATGCTGATATCATCGATGAAAACGGTTAGACGCTTGCCTCCAGCAGGTCCGTACGTGCTGCCCACACGACGTTCGATGAAACTTTCCAGACCCCTCTGATATAGAAGCACATAAATACAGAGCTGAGGTGTGAAAACAAGAGGAGCTGATTTTCCTACATCGATTGAAGAATATATATTTATCTCCTGCAAACTGAAGCAGTTCTTATCCTAATTCTTGTTACTTCCGAAATGCATATTTTGGTCTCAATTGTTTACACTTTGGATGTGGGTTTCATTAAAATGCAGATTTCACTTATAAGAGTGTACGCATACTTGTAGTTCTCGTTATGTTGGATTCATAACGCGTGACTAATCGTTATTTACCACACTTGGCAAAGGAACCGAGAGGACCTCAACACTTGCTCAACATTCCATACAGAAATGATTCAAAGATGGCGTTTACAAGCTTCGTCACATTACATGAGAAACACACTTTGCAGCAGCTTAGGGAGGTTCAAGCAACTGCGTAACCCGTAGCAATCAAGGTGACCCGGTTCAAGCACTGTTGTTGATATAACCATAAAACTTGATGATTCGACATTCACCTCTAAAGACCCCTTCCATTGCATTGATTTCTCACACTTTCACATCCATTTCATTTATTCCCAAATTGACACCCTTTTTATCAGGATAACTTTGCCCATTTTTTACTCCGTTTTCCAAATTCAGTTTGTATGACCCCGTACCTTGCTTTCAAGTGAATAAAATGCACCTTTTCAGTCGAAAAAACCCATCTGGAGCCAACAATCAAGTGATAAGCCGAAAAGAAATTTCTTCGCTTTCTTACTTTGTTTCTATGCCTCGATGAAACCATGTTAAGCGGTCCATTACCTAGTCATAGGATTACTGACAACCAGTGCCGAAACTGAGTGACTGAACCGAACTTATATAGTTATCGGATTGTGCCGGATTTGGGTACGCGCTTTCATTGTGATTTGATTCAATAATATGCCTGCTCATTTGAAGGAAGTAAAACGTCAGAATCCCGATAGTGCGAATGTGTGCTGGTACCCGTCTAACAAATAACTTCGATTGATACAATTTCCGTAGAGTGTAACAAGCATACAAACACAATATGGATCCCCCTAATCTGAAAAAATCAGATTTATCCTCCGGCCAAAAATCATACACCTCCGACTTGCAATTTGGATTAGTCGTGAGGCTTTCATAATCAAGTGTATGGTCAGCTATTACTGTATGTGAAACTTTTGGATCCCCATTCAAACAGCAGTCACCTCTCAGGTAGCTCTCGCCTTGCGGTCACGCACATTTTTGGTATGAGTCTTCCTAAGCTTCGTGGACGTACTCTACTGATGGATTCTTAAAAAAATAAAAACCAGTGCTATCAAGCTTACAGACTGCTCAAGGGTGTGAAGATATATGAATCGGCATACGAGAAAGGGAAATTGTTTAATGCAGTACAGATCACCGGCTGTCCTACAAACTGGCTTCTTCATTATTCGCTAGTGTTGACACAGCAAACGTCACCCGGACGTAAATCGTTTAATCACGAAACTTAATGAATTATTGGCAAATTGCTAGCTTCTTCCCACCTGCTTATCCCGGAAATATATGGTAGACACATCTGGCATGTGCACCTGCTCGGTAGGGAAATTGGTCAACACTCTGCGTGGGGGTGCAATGGAATCAGGTTATCTAAGCCAAAACTGCAGTTCAGGGTCAGGGTACTCGGTTCCTAAAAGTGTGCATTGTAAATTATTTCTGCCTGTTTGTGTGTGGATACGTGCGCGAGGACCGTATATCATTGGGAACCGACTTCTAATCAGAGCATCTTAGATTATTTCACGTTCAGGCTATCCCGTACACCCTCACTTGTCTAGCGCAGCTTCAAAACCCGGTTTCCTTGAGTAGTTAATTAGAATCAGGAATTCGACCTTGATTAATGGTTGTTCTTCTCTTCAAAGACAGACTTATTTTTCAACTGTTGATGGTCGTCGTTCAATGAAGGTTATTTTGTACTAACCCGCTTTTTTGAAGGGAGATGTCGTAAGAAGGGGAATGCAAGAAACCTCCGGGCAGCACTAAGTCCTTGGAAGCATGACATGTAAACAGTACTAAAGAACACTTAATAAAAGTCATGCACACAATT